TATTTCGGATCGCTGAAGTTGGCAAAATGCCAGGTCAGGACTCACCGCCGCGCCACGCGAACAGGTCGCCGCGCGCGGTGACCTAGTTTCGAGCGCGGCGGTGACTCCTGGCCGTCTCCCAGTCGGGAGAGAGCGTCTGGCCACACCCCATTCAGCCCATCCACCAATGACGTAATATCCACCGCCCACCCTTACCCATCGTGTCCACTGCCTTGAAAGTATCTCCGCCCCTCTGAGATGAGAAAAAGCAAATGACAACCCTACCGAATACATCATTCGCATCATATCCAAACAGTGTTGAATATCGTTTTTGAAATCTGGTTGAACTACACATGATCGAATCAATGTGTTGATATTAACAAACTGCTGCATCCTAAAAAATCAATTCTTGGAAGGGATAAAGCTTTCTGAGTAAGCTCTTTCCTTTAATCAATTCAGGGTGGTCAACATACCTGAAGAGAACGCCACATTTCAAGGCGCACCACAGACCAAGTTGTGAATTAGCTGCAGCGTCCCGAATTGAACCCACATTCAACAGTTCAATAACATAATCCCTTCTTAGATCGCAGCTTTCGGCAAACGATGCACAGGCTTTCGCTAAAAAAAGTAGAACAATTCTAAATGATTCCCAAAGTCGGCCAGTAAACCAACAAAAATGGAAAGAAGTGGACACCAAAAAAATAATTTTTCTTACTGTAGGATTACAAACTGTAAATAAAATACAAAAAAAACTGTTCAACGCAGTGGCTGTAGCAGATGCCAGCATTATGAATACTTGAGAGAACATTAAAGAAGAAGGTGGGCAGATGCGCTAGCGGACTGACCTCCTGCAAGATATGAGCTCCAATAATCTTAAAATCTGTCAATGAGGGCAGATTTGGCCACGGAACACCCCCTTCCTAGACTGCTTCGATGCTCCCCTACGAAAGCGAATGCTGCATGCGTTCAGCACAAAACGCTTCATTTCCAGACTGGGGACAGACGTGCCGTCGTCTGTAGTCCCGGCG